GGAGGAGGAGGAGGAGGAGGAGGAGGAGGAGGACGAGGAGGAGGAGGAGGAGGGGACGAGGAGGAGGAGGACGAGGAGGATCCAGGCTGCTCTCAGGGTCGGCGGCGGCGGCCCCAGCCGGCCCCCTGCCGCCTCAGGAGGGGGGGGGGGGGTGGGGGGGGGGGGGGCGCGGCGCCACCGCGGAGCGGGCGCCGCGCTGCGCCCCTCGGCGCCAGCGCCGCGCCTCCCGCGGGCGGGGCTGCCGCGGGCCATGGCGTCCCCGGAGGGCGCGGCGGCGCGGGGGCCCGGGCGCGGCGGCGGCCCTCTGCGGCGCGCGGCCGCGCTGGGGCCCCCTCCGTGCTGGGGGCCCCGAGGACCCCAGGCCCCCGCGCAGCACGCGGGGGAAGGAGCACGACAGCAGCAGAAGTCGAGCGCGCGAGAGCGAACACGAAGTCGAGGCCGAGCCCGCTCGGCTCGAGCCCCCGCGAGTCACGGCACGCCTCACGACGGACGGCCTCTGTCGCCATTTTCGGCTTCCGGGGGCCCCTGCAGGGGCCCCGAGCGGCCGTCGGGCGAGACGGCGGTCCTCGGGGCCGTGTCGAGGGCCTCTCGGTGGATCGACGCCGTGGGCGAAGCACAGCGTCGGGGGTCCTGGCACTGGGGATCCCGGCAGCGCGGCCTGCGTTCCCGCCGAGCGTCTTCGCCGAGGGTTCGGGGTCCAGCGCCTCGAAGAAGTTCGGGGCGGGAGCTTCTCCATCGTTTTCCGCCTCTCAGGGCCCTGATTTGGCCTCGGGCCTCGGGACCGTCAACAAGAGGACTCGGCTGGCCCCGGGGAAGTCGTCGAGAGGTCGGAGGCCCGCTTCTCGAAAAAATCAAGACGCTGGATGTCTGAGGCTCTTGTTCGCACCAGGCGCCTGCGCCCGTACTCGTGTCTCCCGAGGCCATCGCAGATCGATCGGGCTCCAGAACTGCCGCCATGGCCCAGAGGTCGAGTCGCGATGTTCCAGCGTGCCTCAGGGTAGTCGCGGCGTCGGGTCTCAGGGGTGGTTCCTTGGAGGCCTCCTGGGGACCCTCCTCGGGGACTCCTCGGAGACTCCGTGGGGCCTCCAATCACCGAGCGCGCTCCACTACTCGCAAAGTGCCTACTCGCAAACGTCCGACGTAGTGGGCCGTAGATCCCCCGCGGCGGATCCAGGCCATTTGCGAGCAGCTTCTTCGCAAGTCGTGGAGCCAAGGGCGCCAGGGGGTCGCCAGAGGCCCCGCGCAGATCACCGCATCATCTCGCGACGGTGGAGGGCCGCCGCGCGCGCCGCCCGCGCCCTCCCGAGGGCAGCGGGCGGGAACGGGCGGGCAGCGGGCTGTGCCAGGGTGCACATTCTCCTTCGGGCCTGGGCAGCGTGTCGTAGAGCCCCTAACCCTGACAACACGATGAAGTTGTGGCCTCACCTGGGCTCCCGTCTTCGCATGAGGGACAATAGGCCTGGGCGGTTTGGTCTGAGACGACTGCAGAAAAATGACTCATGTGTGTTGGCCCTCCTAACTTAGGTGCCCTCCCAAAGGCTTTGGGGGACTTTTTATTGATGATCAGCGTAGGCCCACATCTCGCGAGGAGATGTGTGGTCCGCCTCGGTCGCCTCGGTCGGGTCGCCTCGGTCGCCTCGGGCCGGGTCGCTTCGGTCGCCCTGGTCGCTTCGGTCGCCTCGCCCGCCTCGTGATCTCCGGGGCGAACTGCTCGGTTGCGACTCCTGGATGGTTTCATTCGGCATTAGCGCTGGGCATACCCATGGTCGAAGGGCCCGCTCCTCCAAGATTCCGTTTATTCTGGCGAGATCCCGCTGGATCCCGATAAGTCTGGACTGGACAATCGATTCGGCCGAAGACTTGGTAGTTCTTCATCGTTCCCTTGGAGACCTCCCAGCAGTTGCCTCCCCCAACCCAGACCCCCGACGTCATGATTGTTTCATGACGTCGGCCCC